TGGTTTTCATTTTTAAATTTGCATCTTAATATTTCAGTTGGAATGCAATGATGTGGTCTTGTTTTGGCGAATACAGCGTATGCTTGCTATCACTGCAAATACGTTAAGGCAGCAACTTACAAACACTGAAGGTAAGCCACATAGGGACTGCTTTCTAATTTTGACATTAAAAAATAATAGTTGCTTGAGCCCAGGAATTTGAGGTTGCAGTGAGCTATGATTGTACCACTGCACTCCAGCCTGCATGACATAGACTCTGTCTCTTAAAAATAATGATAATAGTAATAACATCCATTTTTAACAGAAAGATGCCAGAATACTTCCCTAAAAATAGACTTATTAGAAAAACTGAAAATTATAATTTGTCTTTAAAATATTAATGAAAATAAACATAATTGAAAAAGATGAGAGATAAAACATACCAGGAGTGTATCTTCATTGCACAAAAACTCTGTTAGGAATGGACTTCTAAGCATCACTTAGTTTTTTGGGAAATCTGCACTTCCATTAAAGTGTTCTAGCTTAAGAATATGACATTTTCTGAGAATATATATCAGTTTCATGCTGATAAAAGTACTGTATAACTGTAGAAATTCTCTTTATAACTGTAAGAAGTATAAACCTAGAAACAGATCTAACATTATGAGAAAAAATACAAACTTACTCTCCATATATAGATAAATTTTATCATCCTTATGCATTCATAAAAACAATGCTCCTCAGGTTTTTTCATTTGCTTTGAACAGTTAGGCGATTAGAGAAAAACGTTAAAGAAGTATTGGAAGATTTTGCTGAAGACAGCCAGAAGAAGGTTAAATTGCTTACTGGTAAACGAGTTCAGCTGGCCGAAGACCTCAGTAAGTAGTTCTTCCTGCCCTCTGCCTTACTGCCTGTTTGCCTTTCCCATTTCCATTTATGTGTTCATCCATTTAATCTCAAACTTACAGGCAAGTTACAAGTATCTTCGAGTAACTTTTTTCTTCTATGAACTGTTGGAGAGTAAGTTGCTGACCTGAAGTACCATCACATCGAAGTACTTTAGTGTGTATTTGTTAGAAACAAGGATTTTCTCCTAGCAACCATAATGCAAACACTGAAATCAGGATGTTAACACTGATACATTACTATATTTAATTCTCAGACCCCATTCATGTTTCACACTTTGTCCCAATATTGTCCTTCCATATAACAGGATGTTCCAGGCTCACTGCCTGACCCAGCTTCCTTTTTTTGGAGAACAGTATTTAGAAATCAAGATCTGGAAACTAGATATGGTCATTGTTACTGGGATATTGCTGTTCCCAGGCCTTCTCAGTGGAAAGAGCTAGGGAATAAATGTTGCGTATGTGCCTGTGGGCAGATATTAATACAAATACACACATTGACATATGAATTCCTAATCATATGTATGTGTGTATGTTGAAAACCATGAGTTGACGCTGATACTTCCAGTTTTAATCCAATTCTGCAAAGTTTGTTCTCGTGGGCTCCCTTTCCTTATTTGTAACTCTCTTTTCTGACAGTGACAAACCTGGTTCCTAGTATCCTTAATGTGTTTGCTTATTTTGATCAGTCCTCCTGTATGCGACTAGACTTGAATGAAGGTGCATCCCCTTCATTGCAAAAATATTCTTTTAACCCAGTTTGACTCTTTATCACCCCATTCCGGGCCACCATCACAGAGCTTCACCCTGCTTTGACACCCTTTTTACCTCGTCTAGGCTTTAGCATCCCATGCCAGTTTGCTCTTCTTTAGGAAGTCCTTTTGACTAAGCTCGTGCTCTAACACTTTGTGCCAGGCCTCTCCCCGTCTCATCCTTCCCACCCTTTATTTCCTGCCTCCCGCCCACACACACACAGATTCCTTCCTCACCTGAAGCCAGGTCACGCTTTTATGGAGACACCCTCTTCATCCTGCTTGTGCTCCTACACCCTGCTCCAGGCTTCTCTTAAACAGGTACTCTCCTCATTACTGGGCCAGGCTATCCATACTCTCTTGTGAACCTCCTCTTAACCCTGCTCATGCAGTAACACCTACAGTAGGCCACTGTCCCCCCACTGCCAACCTCTGCCTAGCTTGGCCTTACTAATCACTTTGTCACTTTGTTTGGGGGGATATTTGGTTCCTTCTTGAATGCTGGCGGGTTCCTACCTTTAAGATTGGATTGCACATTAAGATTTACTTAGATTTTGAAAACCCAAGGAAATCGGTGAAACATTAATATCATTAAATAAAAATAAAAATACTGGTTGTTGGTGCTTCTGTTTGAGCCTTATTTCTTACACTTGTGTTTCCTTTATTTCAGGTTCATGAAACAAAGTGTTTTTTCTTTCAATGTGTACTTAAATTTGCAATTTTTTAGGTTTTCTGATATCTAAAAGAAAGCAGATACTACATAGAAAGAAGTTCTTATTAATAAAATTTGAAAGCAGTTTCTTTGCTGAATTTGTATTACTACAATACAATCACTAGACTATCCCAGAGAAAGCAGGCAGGGTTCTGTTTTATGCCTGTGCCTGAGCAGTGTGCTCTCCTCTCGTCATCCTCCCCTTGTGATTTTGTTCTCGCCCTCATTATCTGAGCTCTTCATTGCTTTCTCTTTTCCTTTACCTCCTGTCTTTAAATACTCTTTTTTAAAAACATATCTCATTTTAACTTTTCATCTTCTGTCACTTTTACTTTAGCTTTTTAATACCACTTTGGCAGTATAGTTAAGTTTATGCTAAAGTACAAGGTCTGTGCTCGTATCTCAACTGTCATTGACTAGCTGTGTTATCTCAGGCAGGGAATCTCCCAAGCCTTAGCTGCTTTGTTTGTAAAATGACTGCTTTAATGGTTATTTCACAGGATTGTTAGGAGAATTACTTCAAAAACCATTTGGAAGTCCCCAGTTTATTATCTCTTGCTAAATTAGTACTGTTACAAGAGGCATGTCACTGTCACAGTGTATATAAATTTTTTTTTGTAACGCTCAGGGTACGATTATCAGACAGTGAAATACTTCAATGAATTTTACCGGCATATTCATTTTTAAGTGATTGAAAAATAAGTGTCTTTTGTCATACTTTATAATAAAGCCTGTGTAACCCCATCATTCTGCACTCCCAATTTGATTATTTAAAGAAAGCGTATTACTAAGTCAGATGTGTACACTGTCAAGCCAAGTCTTATGTTCTACTGTTGGTTTTCCTGAGAAAGTAGTTATATGACTACCTTGAAATGATTTACTACTTTTGTGCATATAAAATTTTGGTAGTTTAAGTACCAAATGATGTCCTTGGAAGCAAGGATTTTACCAGTGACTGAGCTTCACCAATCATACTAAAGGAGGTGAGCCATGACTTTGTCCATTATTTGAAAAAGAGTCTTCAGAGTGCCTTTTCTTTACTGTTTGTCTTTGGTCTAACACTTGGGAATATGGTCGTAGATACTTTCACCCAGAAAACTTTCAAAATTTAACAGTTACTAATGTATTAAACAGATCAATCAAAGTTTCTAGTATAGCCTATTCAATTAGACTGTAGTTTGTTGGTTAATAGAGTTTGGAGAAAGGGAACGATCAGGCTTTACTACAATTTCAAAATAGTACAGAGTATTGTATAAATTGTTAAAATTTTGATACATCCAGATACATTCATATTTTTTGCCAGTTTTAAACTTGCCCAATTTTAAATCATTTTATTACTTTGGAGATTTCACTAACTGATTGTCCTTTAAGATGAATACATAAGAAGTAGTACATTGTTCCCTCACATTCTAGAGAAGATACAGCAACCATGTTCATTACTGAAGTGAAGCCATGAAGCCAGAGTTAGGAGGAACTAACTCAAAGAAATGAAAAAAGGTGTCTACCTCTCTTTGTCTCAGGAGGCTCACGGGAAGAGGAGTCATACATAGAAACTAGGACTCTTTGGAAAAATGGTGGATTCCACATCTGGAACAGGGAAAGGACAGGATGAGCCTGGGACATCTTAGGGTATAGAAAGGAAGGGAGTGCTTGAAGGATGATGAGGAGATGTTAACAGGATCCAGAAGCCTTTTTGAGGAGGTTCCAGCTGACCAAACCTGGGACAATTTGGACATTAAAACAATGACCATAACAAATTGCAACTCATTGAATGAAATAGGAATCCCTGAATTGGTTATTATATATATAAGTGAATAAAATTAGTGATACAAAAAAGGATGTTTGTATAATCACAAAAAAAAAATCCACAGAAAATACTTATTAATTAAAAGAGGGAAAAGAGTAACTTCACAGTGGCAAAGCCTGGCAATCATCACTTTAATCAAGTGTTCAGCATTAGTATTATCAGGAATGGTCAAATCAAACCTATGTGCCATCTTATAAAATGGAATGAGAAGAACACAGCTTCACTTCTAGAACATATTACCAAAGATATATAACTCAAATCCAGTCATAACAATACATCAGACAAACCCAAATTAAGGCACAGTCTGCAAAATAATCTTATAATCTGTAATCTTCAAATATATCAAGATCATGAAAGACAAGCAAAGATTGAGGAACTGTTCAGTTGAAAGACGCTAAAGGACAGGAAAACTAAGTGCAATGTATGATCCTGGATTGGATCTTTTTGTTCTAAAGGACGTAAATAGGACAATCATTGAAACTTTAATGTATCTGAGGATTCCATGGTGGTTATGCATCAATGTCAATTGTTAAATTTTGATTGTTAAATTGGAATTATTTAGGCAAATATCCTTATTCCTAGCTACTACACAATATAATATTTGGGGATGATAAGGCATAATGACAGTAAATGTTTCAGGAAAAATATGTTCTTTGTAGTGTTCTTGAAATTTTTCTGTAAGTCTGAGATTGTTTTCACATAAAAGGAAAAAAATGAAAGGTGTAATTTCGTTTTTATAACTGATAATGGATCAGAGTCGTGTGAAAGTACTTTAGAGAAAACAAGTCTTTTGAAAACATGATCTCTGAAGATGTTGAAAAGACTGAGTTACTTCATGGGCAATTTTAATAAAATATGCAGCTCATCAGTCCACCTTGATTCCTTATTTACAGTATTTACCTACACTTAGAACTGTGTGGTGTTTAAATATGCCTATTATGACCTTCATGAAATTCTTTTGATTCTGTAGAAAGTTTAATTTCAGGGGATTTTTTTAATAGATATTTAAATATGGTGTCAACTTAAATGAAATCTATGTAGATTCCAGTGTAAGTTTTAGTAATGTGTCTAATCTGCTTATTGAAATAGACTACAGTTTTAGAATACTTTCTTAGGAGAGATGAAGATTGGTATATTATGGCTCAGTTCAAAGTTCTTTCTATTTGTAATCTATTTTATGATTTATAAAATCAATTTTGTGATTGTCATCATATGAAACAAGTAAGAGTGTTAACATTATACAGATAAGTTGGGATTTGTTTCCTACCCCATCCCACCTTGGAAACTGAGTATCTGGGCACTGACAACAATCGCTGGTAGTGTTTGCTGCTAAGCTAAGTCTTATCAGGACAGCATGAAAGTCTCTTATTATTTGCTCTGTGAATATTGTATCAACTATTAACTAGGTTATTATAAGTATTGGACCTTTATATAAATTGCTTAGGGCTTTGAGACCGGGCGGGGTGGCTCACACCTGTAATCCTAGCACT